GGGGGTTGACACTTGAATGGAAATTGTGTTGCAAGTTACATTATGACATGAATTTATTTTTTCAGACTTAGACACACATGGAAGGGTATGCTCTTGCTACTGGACCTTTGATGAGTTTAGAAAACTGCATAATACAGCATGTTTTGGCTTGCTTTTGAACGCCTGCCTGTCAGCCTTGTCTGTGATGAAGTTGGAAGAATGGAAGATAATTGTTTTTACTGTTTCAGATTGGCCCTGATTATTTTCAAAGGAAACTTAAAGTTTTTCAAGCTCTTTTATCATGTATGTGTATGTTTTTTGATAAGTTCTGCTGCATTCTAATGCATGATCTAGGTTTAAATTTTTGTTTTCTTCAATGTTCACTTTTTTGGCAGTTTAAACAAATAAATACCTCTTCTTTATTGTAGTGCTTGCTATTACTTTAATGCCCCTTTCGTCTTTTGACAGTTAAGAGGCATAGATCCTCCGATTTAATACCCCATCTCCGGACCAAAGCACAAATTTAAAAAGTTAAAAACCCAGATAGAGATTCGAACCAGGATCATTTGAGTTTATGATAATGATATGGTGTCCTAAGCCATTCTTTTGTGCAATGGAACTTTGTTTGAATTGTTTAGTTCTCCTTCATACCACATTCTTTCCTTTTAAATTTTAAAACTTATTCAGCAAAAACATTATTGTCTATTGTGACAGAACATTACCTGCTACTTTTATAAAAAGCATTTGACAAATTCTTTCAGGTGATTGCTGGTTTGTGGCCGCTATGGCTTGTCTGTCCAGTCCTGAGTACAGAAATCTCTTTGAGAGGGTGGTGTACCCTGATCAGAGCTTTCAAGACGGCTGGTACTCGGGGGTTTTTCGCTTCAACTTTTGGCACTTCGGCCAGTGGAAACAAATCCTTATAGATGACCTCCTACCTACTAAAAGAGGACAGCTGATCTTTGTCAATTCTCCGCAGAGTAATGAGTTCTGGCCTGCTCTGATGGAAAAAGCCTATGCAAAGTATGTATGCTTTGAGATTAATACCCGGTGCCCATTGGTAGGTTCGGTTCAGTTCAGTTCGATTCGGTTTGGTCTTCGGGCTAGCCAGATTTTCCTCCATAGAGGGAGAAAAGCTATCATTGTGGCACAAACTGAACGAAACTGTCGATGAATTTCAAGAACAAATGCATTAAAATTTGTTTTCTAAGTAGTGAGTTGGGCGATCAGTTTGAGGCAGGGGTCTATTTATAGTGTGCGCTGAAGTCGCCAGAAACTGAACCGAACCGATCTTGCCTATGGGCTCTGGGTATAATGCACAGAGTGAAAACTTTCACTGTCATTAATGTGTCATTTCTGTAGCGACAGTTAAAAGCAATACATGATAGTCTGAACCCTAAGCTCTAGGTTGTGGTGCTAAAGGCAGGCGGCAACTCGTTCAAATTTGATACTTATTTCAGTGTGAGTCACAGTGTACACAGAAACTGTCATAAAGGAACATATGTTTACTACAGTCCCTCTTGATTTGATCAATGTTGTTAAGTAAAAAAGAGTTAAAAACTCAGTTGATATTATAAAATTCTTTCATGTGATACATATACACAGTACAAATCATGTAAGTTTGTAAATGGACTTTGTTGTTTTTAGCTTTTCCTCTTATTCTCTAGGATTTTATGAGTCTAGTGTTGTTGGGAATATTGTTTTTGTCTTTGAAGGGTTGTGCTTTTGACGTAAACTGATTTCTTTTTTCCTACTTTTTGTTGCTTTTTGTTTTCCAACAGAGTCTACGGGTCTTATGAAGCTCTCAAAGGAGGTTTCCTTGTGGACTCACTAACAGATCTGACTGGAGGTCTCGCTGAGTCCTACACGCTGCATGGCCCTGAAGCTGACCTACCTGGCAACATAGTCAACATTCTGTTCAAAGCCCTAGAGAGGCAGTCTATTATTGGCTGTAACATTATAAATGTGAGTCAAAACTCTTTATTTTTATTAGTATTTCTTTCTATCTTGGTAATTTATTTCTGTCTTGGTAAATTAAGGCTTTCATGGAAATCTTCAAGTTCATGATTTTTTGTTTGTTTGGGGTTTTTTTCCTAAAGGGAAATGCCATTCAAAGTCTTTTTGTAGAAATTACATTTTCATCAATCTTCTAAGATAATGATGTTGGGTTTTAGATGGGAACAACTTGTAAAGAATCACTCCAGCTGCGACATAACATTGGGCGGAAGGGTGTACCTCAAGAGGCTGTACTGTATGCTGTAGTGCTAGATTAACATCAGAAACTATCAGATCTCCTGTATTTTGTGAGGGGGCTCTCATGGCCTAGAGGTTAAGGTGTTCCCCCTTTCATTCAAATTCAAAGGTCCGGGGTTCAAATCCAGGTAGCGACGGAAATATTTTCTTCTCTAAAATTGTCTCCTTTCACCTCCTTTCCTGCCCTCTAGCAGTTTTGTCTTCTGCTTTCGTCTCCACTTTCTGCCCCCACCCCCTCACCTCCTTTGCCCCCTCCTCTGGGCTCCTGACTCTTTCTGCAACCTTTCTACTGCTACTCTCTAACTCCTTCTTACTGCTGTCTTTCAGCCACTCCCCTGATCTTATGGTAGGCAAGATCTACAGCTAGCCTTCTCAGACAAGTGTGAAAAATCTCGGAGGTCTCGTGTGCAAGTTGCGCAGGTTAAAGATCCCTTGGTGGTTTAAAATCGATGAGAGTAGGCTTCGGCCACCACCCGGGCAAAATTCAAAATTTCCTACCTACTGAAAATGTTTAATGTGTCCCGCATGCTAATATGACCTTATACAGTTGCAAGCGCCGTAAAACACTTACTCCCCATAAAAAAATCTTTTGTGAGAGACTAGCTTCAAAAATTTTTTTTTACTGGTGACAGCTGGATGTGAATTTGAGCTCTTCTTTATTTGACAGATCGCAGGAGCTGGGGAAGCTCTCCGTCCTAATGGACTGGTTGAGGGACATGCCTACAGTGTGACAGACCTGCGGAGGGTGAGGGATGAAGTGTGTGTGTGTGTGTTTGTGTGTGTGTATGTGTGTGTGTGTGCTTGTGAGTGTGTATGTGTTTGTGTATGTGTATTTGTGTATGTTTATGAGTGTGTGTGTGTGTGTGTGTGTGTTTGTGTGTGCG